CTTTCAAAGTAGCGTGAGAAGTCAAGACAAAGTACGCACCACATCTTGCAACCGTATTTAGCTATATGCAGCCCTGAACCCTACAGACCTTAACGACAACTTTTCCCTCAGGCCTGAGACGGGACTGGCATCGCCCTGGCTGGGCTTGGACTTCTCTGAAGCTTTGCCTTCGCTGTCCTGCATGGTGAAACTCAAGGCAACGTGATAGTTTTGGGGTTCTTGCTTTGCCGCCGACCCTGAATAGGTTAAACTTCAAAGTTGTGTGGGATTCTGTAATAAGGGTGAACCAAAGCACAAGGCTTGGAGTTTGGCGGGCTTCGATCAAGGAGCCAGGCCCCAGCCAAGGTGCCGGGCTGGCAGCTCAAAGACTACAAAGCGCGAGCCCAAGTACAAATTCATGATGAGGGATAACAAAATTTATCAACCCCCTAGCACCACTCCGCTGCAGCGCTACGGCGTGGCCATGCTGTATGACCAGGCGCCTTAGGGAGGGGATTCTATAACCTATGCTCGACCAAGTAATCACGGCCTCAGAACCCAGTCTTTGCCTTATAGCCTTAGGGGCTCTGCTCCCACAAAGCTGTCAACCTCCTGGCCCAACGATTATGGCCCTTGTTCCAGGTTCCCTCCAGGTGTGGTAACGGCCACCTGGAAAATCCCACTCCGAAGCATACGAAGTGGACATGGCAAAGGAACAACTGCTCGCGCGGAGTCTGTGTCTTCAATGCTCCTTGAGGTGGGCATCCGCGGCTGGTAGCTTGCTCAGGGAGACCGGGGGCATGATTGTCATTATCGCCATTTTTCTCCTATTACTATTATTACGTACTATTAATTACTACTAGTAATACTATCATTGCTATACTTAGTATTATGATTATTTTCTTTATCATTATTCTTACTATTGACCATTCTTGGCAAGAGCCAAGCCTGCACCACACTTTTAAATGCGATTTAGCGGGTCGAAGAGGTTGATCTATAGTACACGTTTTGCCTTCTGTGTTGAAGGGCTTGGGCCAATTTCGTGAAACCTTGCAACCACTGAGAGTGCAAAGGCCTTGCAGGACCATGCCTGGGTGGCCGCTCTGCCAGCTGGCAAATTAGCGTGAATTGGGTGGGAGCCTCCCTCGCACTTTTTATGCATGATTCTTCCAGAATAGCTGATGTCCGCTGCAACAGGTTGCTCTAGACTCTACAAAATCCCGTGATATTGACTTTTCAGGATACCCCACTGACTCCCACGCGGCAGACTGCTTTGACGGTGTCCCACACGCTTGTATGCTTGGCCAAATCTTTTATGTGATAATGAACTTTTGCCTTTTGCCAGTAAAGACACCACGTGTTGTATAACCTGCACAAGAATTTCACCAACTCCCAGCTCAAGATCGTACAGTCTCTCTTACATCGAACGGCCAAAAGCGTTGCGTGGGACACCCCTAACATGCAGATACTAGGTCTGCTGGTATCAAGGACATGCGCTGCATCGATTTGCATGTCGCCATTGAGCCGGTCTAGAAACTGCGGGCTAGCGCGTGAGAGCTTTCGCCTTCGAATCCGTTTACAGGTCTTGTCCATCTAAGTAGTGGACATTGACAAAGCGTCCATGTCGGTTGGGGTGCAAGCTGCAGCAAACTTTTCGTACCAGTAGTCTGGATGTGGTGCTGAATTTTTTTGTGAAGCAGAACTTGGTTGCTCATATCATCAGTGCTAATTAGGGTTGTGGGATATTTCCTCTCCATGCAGAACATCTTTGCGCTCCCCAACAGTACTGCACATGGTTCAGTTTGGCTTTGGCCTTTGCAAATACACCTTGTGGTTCGCATGGTCCCGTCTACCAGCCATGGAAACTCATCTACCGCTGCTTAGTCAGGAATGAGGGAACCAATCCCCAAGGTGACTCCTACAAAATGGCAAATAGTGTTCGCATCTTTTTACTATTATTACTACTATTTCTGTTGTGAGCATTATTAATGCTACTATTACTCTTGCTACTATTTTACCCTTTCCCCTAAGCCGTAACGCCTGAATCCCAACCATTCCCTAGCAAGCAAACAGTAGTCATAGATGCGAACATCCTACGGCGGCCAACGCAGCCATCCGTCAGCCCTCCTCCTCCTGCACAGGAGGCTCATCTGAAGATTTCTGGGGGGTTTAGGGTTTAGGGTTTAGGGGTTTAGGGCTTAGAGGTTTAGGGTTTAGTTTTTAGGGTTGCAAAACCCTAAACCCTACGGAGAGATCTATCTAGTGGTCGTACAGGGGAGTTATCGGGGCCTAAGGTTTCTGTTTGGTATAGGCAAGCACATACATACATTTAAGCGCACACACGCCCCACAGTGTTAGCCACGTCCCCCTTTTTAAGCCTTAAACCTTAGAACCTAAAGCCCTAAACCCTTGAGCCCGAAGGCACTAAACCCTAAAGCCCTATGCCCTAAACCTAAGGCCCTAAACCCTCAAGCCCTAAACCACTCATGAAGATCTAAGTAGGGGTCCCATGCTCTTCCTGGTGGGGATCCTTGGACTTGCTTTCAAAACCGCACTTCCGAAATGGAGGGGGGGGGTGTCCCAAAGTTAGGGGTACCTTTAGGTATAAGGGTGCTATAGGGGCTATGTAAGGGTATATAGGGATATACAGCGATATATGAGGATATATCGGGATACCTAGAGACCCATAGGGTTTAGTTTAGGGTGTAGGGAGGGGCACAACCCCAGGGTCAATATGATGAGGATTATAGTATTTGAGGCCTATGTTCGGGTCCCTCTACTTGCGAACCCTAAACCCTAAACCCTAAACAGTTGGTAGGCAATATGAATGGGAATGACAAGGACAAGCACAGTCTAGTTAGTGGTTGGGGTTGGGGTTGCAGGATTTTGGGGCTTCAACGATAAACCTGCGAAGTCGTAAGTTGTGCAGCCCCCGCACTGCTAACCGCTCATGATGGTTCTCAGTACTACTATTATAGCTATCCGTTTCAATATGCGTATGGCTCTTACGATTACTATCGCTGTTGCCACTATTATTATTGCTACTGCTACTGATTTCAAAGCCCTGTATCTCCAAATCCAGAAACCCTGAAACTAGCACGTACATCCGTAAACACCAGCTTCCTTGACCCTAAATTTCGAAACTTGAATCTTAAAGCCAGTCAGGTCTATGGCCCTAAGATGATAAAGCCGTGTCTCCAGTAACGCTGAATCGCAAACGAGGCCTCAACTCCAAACATGTTGCAGCGGCTGAGGTCTACAACTCTTGCGGCCTGTGTCCCTGAAACATGAACCCACTAGCCAGAAGCAAAGACCTCCTAGCCAAGGGCCCGAAGACATGTCCATCGTGTGCAAAGCCTTGCTTGCCATATCTCTTGACCCTGAACCCCTGCCAAATTCGAAAGCCCAGGGACAGAAGCCCTCAAACCGTGATCACGGACTTGGAGGTTGCCAGCGCGCAGTTTAGGCTTTTGGGGTTTACAGTTTAAGGTCTAGGGTTTAGCGTACGCTTGTGCTTGAGGAGCCTGTCCCAAACCTGAAACCCCCGCTGTCACGCCTCAACCCTCTAATATTATCCCAATATAACCCTAATATTACCCCAATATAACCCTAATATTACCCCAATATAACCCTAATATTACCCCAATATACCCCTAATATTACCCCAATATAACCCTAATATTATCCCAATATAACCCTAATATTACCCCAGTATAACCCTAATATTATCCCAATATAACCCTGATCCCGATATAACCCCTGTGTACCTAAAAGAACACAGGAGACCTCCTCGGAGCTGCTGTCGCTCTCCACGACTTTCCTGAGCAAGGGCAAGGTCCCAACAGTTCAGCAATAGGGGTTATATAGGGATTCTATAGGGATTCTATAGGGGTTATATAGGGGTTATATAGGGATTCTATAACCTCAGCCCCCATGACCCTGAAGAAAAGGACTCTCCAAGGGTGCTTACTGTTGTTTACTAGGTTGCTCTAAGGGTCAACTTGTGGCTCCCCTCCATAAGAAGAAGCTGAACCCCAAACGTGATAAAGTGAGCTCGCAGTGCTCGGGGTCCCTTGATGCGGTTGGTAGAAGAAGGAACCATACTAGCTCAGGATATGCAATCTGTAGCGGACAGTACGTTGAGAAAGGGTAAGATCTATCATCCTTTGCTACAGATTCCGGAACATCTCTGAGAAACCCTTACCATTGGGTGACAACCGGCCGGGTGGCTGCTGGATACTGCGATTCTCCAGCCGGGCAAGGGCCTTCAAAGCCAGGATGGATACTGTAGTTGGCGGGGAGTTTAGGTTATGCCTAGAGGATTCTAACCCACCCTCCTCCTTGGAGGAATCAGGCCCCAAGCAATTCCAAGGAGATAAAGCTTTGAGTTTCAGGGCCTAGGGGTGTAGGCTCTTTGGGGTGGGGCCTGGTTCAGACATCCGGCACTCAGGATTCAAGCGGGCAGCTACTCATCTATCTGGGCAATACCTGGATCTCCAGCAAGGTTCAATAAGCCGATAACGATTTGAACAAGAATAACGGGGATGTTCCTAATGTCAACCAAACACCTTATGCTTTGAAATGACAGCAGAGCACTTGGATGTTCCTTGACATCCTGCACCTGTATATATAGCCTGCAATGCCGGATGTGAATACCCTGGCTGAGAGACGGCGTGGACCCAACATTGCACCGGGCAAAGAAGTTGCGTGTCCAACCATCTTGACAGTTGACCCCATCCAAGGCAATCTGCTCTTCACCTGGACATTCTGTGGTTCCTTAGTCCTGCAGGGTCTTGGAGAGACGCACAACGCATGTAGCATCAGAGATGCCTGAAACAAAAGATGCAGGGGCTGTTGGCCCTTTTACAGCTAGACCCCTAAATCCCACTAGGGTAGGCAGCACACTTAAACCACCCAACTTGTAGCCATGAAAAGCCTGCTTACAGAAGTCAAGCTGTCACTGTTACACTGGACAGGCAACACACCGAAGACCACTCATGCCCATAATTCTGGGCCGGTTCTCACAGCCTAGGTTTCTGGGCAGAAAAATCGAGAGTCCCTTGGAAGATCTGAGCCTCTGCCAAGCGCACGCACGACGCTGGTCGCTCTGCTTTCCTTGGATTTTTTCAAGGTTTCGGCGGCGGGGCTTCTCCAGGTTCTTCGAGGCCCTCCATAGGTAACCTTGCCGAAGTCCACCACCAACAAAACAATAACAGCAACAACAGCAAGGGCATTTGCGCCAGAAATTTGGTCAGCATGCTTTCATCAACGTACTGACATTGATTTAGCTGTCCAAGCAAGGTGCTTGCACCACTTGCCCACTGCTTCGGAGACCATCAGCGGCATGGAGGCAGGAGGCGAACCGGGTCCGGAGAGCGTCACTCCCTTCCTGAATGGCAGAGAAAGAGCTAGCTATCAATTGCAGGTTGAATTGCTGTGGGGCTCCAATCAAACAGATCTGCCCTTTACAACAAATATCTTGGTTTTAGGGAGTCACTCATTTGCACGAGTAGCTGCAAGGGGATACGGCTGAAATTAAACTTGGCTGCGAAAATCAGCGGATTTGTTCACTCCGTGGGGTGGAGGTTCAAGATCCGATCAATTTGACTTTGACAGGCTCTGGATGGCCCCCCAAACCACCTTCCAACCGCTAAAATGTGTTAAGTCCGGGACTGACGGTCAGGGTGCAGAGAGCAATTCTAGCAGAGAATTATGTAATAGTCAGGGGCAAATCATGCCAGCCACATGGACAGGATCATTTAGGCATTGTTTAGCACATATCCCGGAAGTTGTTCTATAGCCTCTATAAGGTGGCTCACCACCACACATCTGACCCAAAACTGAACTCAGCAACCGATCCACCTCCACAAAAAACTCCGTGAAACTTTAGAATGTCTACCTACTCTGTCACCAACCCATGTACCTCAACAAGTGATATTATTTGGGCATTTCCAGCCATGTACGGGCTAACCGTACCACCGCAATACATAGATCCCAACATCTTCACGACCAGATCCCTCAAAAGAAAATCCATCCCTCGACCCTGAATCTTCCGATATCTCAACGTGATCAGATCCCAAAGCCCTCCCAAGCATGGTGCAGCCGCCTCTATGTTGAACACCCTAGCCAGAATCATGCGAGCCCTGGACTAAATTTGTAGTATATCCCTTGCTAGTAATAGGTCCCCCCAAAACCTATATAGTCCCCTAGATTTAGTCCGTAGCTCATGCCACGTTCGCTAACGGCATGGCAGGAGACGCCCACCCAGCTTGGAGGCTCGTCATGTCAGGTTGCAAGCGAGATAGCTATTCCCATAACATCTTGTGAAATACTTTCAAAGCTGGCTTAGAACAACTCGCCTCCATCTCAGGAAACCCCATGACTCCTACATTAGAAGACCCCTCTTGCAAGAGTAAATGATGCGGTTCTTTCCCCAAAAAGGGGGACCTCCCTCATACGCAAGACATTCCCAACTTAGCTGGATTCCCCACAAACAGACCCCCCTCAAGCCTAATCCCTTCTTATACACATATTGAAAATTTTGCGAATCTCCACTTAGACAGTAATGGTAGAACTTGTACTATGGTTTTCCTTATATGCGCTCACCGAAACCCAAAATACAATCCTGATTCACATAATCCCATCCTAAACCTTTGAACCCTAGACCCCTAAGCTGAAAACTCCTACAGTCCCCTACATAAACTTGTATAAGCCCATTTCATGTATGCCCTTGAAAAAAGGCCCCTACCACAAGTAGCCTGAAGCTTGCAGCAATGCATCTCGTAGGCTTCGGCCGCCTCGGCGCGCAAGCGAGCCTGGCGAACGAAGTTATACCCTAAACCTAAACCCAACTTGGGGATTTCCCAAAATTAGCATTCTTTGGGGTCTATATTGAGTCTCCCCAGTTTTGGGAAACTACCACTTATTTTCTTTGGGATAACCCTGTGTAATCCCCAAAGAAGGCCTCCTCCACTGCTTGCTTCATGAGGGCGCAGCGGGTTTGTAGATCCTTGGGGCAACGGCAGCTTGAGGAGCTTGTCTGTGGCGATTTCTCAGCCGAAGCCCTGTGTTTCCAGTTTCATGTCCTTCATATACTGTATATCCGTTATTAGGATAATACTTCTACGCAGACTATAAGTAGCTGTTTTAGAAGAACGCGAGGGCCTGAAGAAAGATAAGTTGAGAATAGTCTCTACAAGCACCCGTCTAGAGTGCGGCTGCATGAGGTCGTGGTAATTTGCCGGTTGCTTCACAGAGCATCGGAGCCTACAGAATTCTTGGACGGACCCCAGCACGTCCTTGTGGGCTCCACAGCAATCAGGGTCAACCGTGCTCATACACGGCAAAGACCACAAGTGTTCAATTTCGTTGCTCTTGCAAGTACGTGTTAAAATTAAGGCAGGCTGCGCTAGACCTGGACCTCCACAGAACTCCGCATGAAACAGCTGTGGTGCAGAAAAGCTTCTGCCTTTTCCCGATCTTGCACGTTGAGCCCCGGGGCATCGAAGGACAACCGCTTCTCCTGCAGAACAAATCAAGGGTTTTCAGGCAGCCGACTTAAAGAATCTCCCACTTGTGGCAGCCGAAGGTAGGGGATGCCGCGACCAGGCAATGGGTTTGTGCCACCGTAGAGATGAGTGTACGCACGTGTCTGCGGGATGGGGATGGTCCAATGGATTGCAGCCCGTTCACAACTTGGCTCTCAACCCGAGGTCACGAGGCCTTGCACTGCAAATTGTTGAAGTCCTCTTTGAAAAGCTTACGAAAAAACAGGAAGGATACAGTACTGTACATCGGGTCTGCATGCTCAAGCAAGACAGTAGCCCTGAATAGGCCCAGCCTGCGGGATCCTGGCCACCGCTGAAGCTTCCAAAGAAGCCTTGACGTCTGCAGCCTCACAACTTATGCCCCTCAGGCACACATGAATCTGCGAATAGGCCCTTGTTGATGACTGCTCATGCAATCCGTAGCGTGGGGCACTTGATACTTAGCCAGGCATCCGAACACCTAACCAAAACCCAGGCGGTCTGCGGGAGAAGTTCGCACTGAGAGTAATTTGTGAAATTGGTGCTGTTGCTCGCAATCCTAGACCTCCAGCCCACGCACGTAGAAATCTCTAAGCCTTCGACTTGCTGGTGGTTAGTGGGAATGAAAAATGGAATGAAGGAATGGATCTCAGCAGCAGGCTTTATAGATAAATATGCCGAATAATGGTCCTTCCAACCCAAGCCTTCATTCCCTACTGACCACCTGTAAGCCTCCACACCTGTAAAATGTCTTGGGGTCTGGGGTCGTCTTCAAACTGACACATGGAATCCTTAAAAGTTGCGCAAATGGTTGGGGGAGTATATGAGACTTACACAATGTCATCTAAAAACTCTGCGGGGCACCTTGCAGCTTCTGCAGGTCTAGGGTCCCAACAGGTAAGAAGCGCATGAAGCACACGCCCTCCTTACACTCAAAACCCTAAACTGCCCAAAACACGAAACGACAGACCTACGGGCCTGAACCCTCACGGCTAATGAGGTGATTTCAGTTCCTCGTCCCCCAAAACGAGGACCCGACTAGTGTAATTAAAAGTATTAGGGTCCTATAATAGCGCTTGGAGGTACCCAACATCCTGAACTGGATACCTCTATGCCCAAAACACTCAGGAAACCAGTTCATGTGCAATGCCTAGCAGCTCCAGAAAGTGATCAGGAAAGCTCCCTCCATGGGACTGTAAGCAGCCCCTTGAAGTATATCAAATTCTTTACTTACTCGACCTCAAGCCCTAAGCCTGATGCCAAAACCACAAGGTTTTTTTACATCTGAAATCTGTGCGGTCTGGAAGAATCAGGCACACAACGCGCAACCTCAAACCCTGAACCCCAACTCCCCAACTCCTGAATGCCTGAACCCTGAACCACTAAATTCTTTAACATTCCTTAACCCTTAAAAAACTTAACAACTAAAGATCCTCAATGTGCAACCCCTTGAACCATAGCCTGGCGAAGGTAGCTCGCCAAAGGCATCGCAGCTGCGCTTCCACTACGGTTGACCTTGGGGTCAGGCCGGGCTTAAGAGCATAGGGGATATATAAGGATAATGGAAAATGAAATGGGAACTACTACTTTAAAATGGGGTATATATTGGGGTTATATAGAGGTTTGGGTCGCTTGAAATCTTATAGAGGAGAGTAATTCAATCTAGGGTGTAGGGCTTAGGGTTTTCAGTTTAGGGCGGAGGCTTTCAGGTAGCATAAAGTGATGTAAGGTAAAGCGTGCTGACGTAGCATGACGTATTGTACGCTGTAATATAATGCGGTGTGATATATGATGGATGAAACGAAAGTAGACTGTAACATGACATGTTTTTCATGAGGTTCCACAGGCATGTGCGAACTTGACGGCCAGAAGGACCTACACACACCCCTACCCTACTACACAGTACGCCCCTGAAGCTCACATTGCGCTGTTTCGCTCACCCAGAAGCGCGTTAACTAATCATGGTTTTGCTCACAATCCAGTTGAGGGTTTGCATGGTCTAGGACGGCCTCAACCAAGGCTGTCGGGGTCCGAGTAAAACCAAAACATTTCCCAGAAAACCTGAGAGGGATAATGAGAAATAAAATGGAAACTACTATATTATAATGGGGTATATAGGGGTGAGGGAAGGGGCTGGGAAATGCCGGGGCCCCAGCCTCGGAGGCTGCCTTCTCCTCGCTCACCACGAGTTCAGCCTGAGCGCCCCAGGCAAGTCGCACGCGGCGGCCGTCGATGACATACCTTCGGAAGTTGGGCTCAGGCTGGTATAGTGGCATAGATGGCAGTTTATGGCATTTTCCACCTGTTATACTGACTCTGCGGTAGGGTTGGGGATTGAGGTTTATCAGGGTTTCGGACCTTGGGACCGCTAGGATGTGTAGAGGCAGGCGGTATGGAATAGAAGGAGCAGGGGATTTGGGGCTTTCTGCGTGGGCAAACTCAAAATGGTGATTTTTCTGATGGTCCGCATAATCAGGACTTTTCCATGTGATGACCGTAGAATGAAGAATGCGTGAGGACAAGCTGGAGTCTCAAATGTTCGTTCATTTCATCAAGTCTAGGTGTTATAGCAACACGCGCCAAGCAAACCTTGCATGTTCCACCCTAGCAGTGGTAGCAGACAGGCGGCCGGAGGATCCCTCAAATTGACGGTTTCAGGGAGTTTTTAAAGTGGTCCTGCTGGATCTTTAGTGCGAAAGCTTGAAGCCTCCGTAACCACTGGCTCTACAGACAAAAATCCCAGAATATAAGACCATGAAGTGCATTTCTTGAGTCCGGAACGTGGAGATTCCCATCAATGCAGCCAACCCTTATAGGATTCAAGTACCCCATCAAGAGGCATTACGATACTAAACAGCATGATGAATTCATTCGGGCCTATGAGGACTTACACGGCCTCAATTTTTGGGTGCTTGAACTGGACAAGGTCCCCTGCGACCCGAAACCCAAACCAGAGTCAAGGTACAGCGCAGGACCTAGGCGACGAATGCCCAGTTTTCGCAGCGACACATCCGAGTGAATGTGGCGAAGCAGGGCAGCCTGAAACTGACTTCAGGTGTGGAAGAAACTTTCCCAACTGTTGGGAGTTAACGCGTTTATAAATGTTTCAAGGTCTAACTCCTGATTAGTCCCGTACAGGACCTTTTTATGTCTGGGCTGTTCTCGCCAGTCCCGCCTCGATTCCGTCAAGCGTTGATGCCGATTGCACGTGCGGTCTGGCCACAGACCTCACTGGTTGAACACACTGAAGGGGTGTCCCGTTCCTAGTCCGTGTGTATCTAGTTAAGGGTCTTAGACATGGGCACCTTCATCTCTTTCACCAAAAGATGAACTCAGGCGGCCATCGTCTGCACAAGGGCCCTACGGGTCCAAACACACCACAACCATACATTTTGTAGCAATACTTGGACTCTGACCATTTGGTATGTAGAACCCTGCAAGGGGCATCCTAAGCCACTGTCTTGGAAGCCCTGAACCTGAGAAATCCATGTATCCCTCTATACCCCTAGTAAACTCCTAGTATCCTCCTGAATAGCGCTTATAATACTGCCCTATGTAATCCGCTATATGACCACCCGCTTCAAGGAGTTTAGACTGTATGCCCCACATGCACCTACATAGACATCATCTCCCTATGTATCCGCTTGACAAAGGGACATCTGCACGCTGCCCCCAAAGGGCTTCGGCGACTGCGCTCCAGGGGCCTCTGCTGTGCTGGCCATTCGAAGCAGCTGCCCAGAGTTCCTTGGATTCATAAGGATAGTACTTTTAGAGTGTCAGTACTCAAATAATAGAAAATTTGGGTTTAAATAGGTTCACATATCGGTACTTTGGGCCCTAATTACATGCTTTTTGGTACTTGGACCCTTAGGGCAAGGTCTTAGAGCGGTACAGTACTAGAGTTCCTAGTGGGGCGCATAAGGAGGGTAGCATCTGGGCTTTCAGAGGTTTTCGTTAAGGATGTATGAAAATCATTGTTCGGCACGAGTTTGGATTAGGCGAATCAACTTCAAACCGAGCTGGCCATAAAACCCAGATTAGGACTCAAGGCAAGCTTCCCTTAAGGGTCCATGTACCCAATAATTAGGTACTTGGGATTGTGGTAATAGTAATTATAGTACAGGTTTTGGGTAAATATCTGATTATTAGGTACTTGGACCCTTAGGGTTCTTAAAGTTCTTAAACCCAAATTTACTATTTGCGTGCTTTAGTGGGATCAGGCTCTTACAGCAACACGTCCGCAGCTGGTCCACATTGAGGTTGGACTTAGGGACTTAAGGTTTTAGGGCTTCAGATTCACGCTGATGCTGTACAGGAGGTCCAGGGTTTAACGCAGTTACAGAGGTATAGTCCCCCTTAAGTAGATAGAATATGGGGTATATGGGGATCTTAACCCTAAACCCTAAACCCTAAGCCCTATTCTATCTACTTAAGGGGGATTGTAGGGTGAGCTGCGCCGCTGGGGTCGTCCTAGATGTCGCTTTCAAGTATCAAGCCGAAGGCTAGGGTCTGCTTGTAGTTCCTTGGGTTTAAGAGGTTAAGTGGTTTAAGGTTTAGGGTATAGAGTTTAGGTTTAGGGTTTGTGCTTGGGGTCCATGACCTTGGACTTGTTGAAGCTGCTGAAACTTGAGCCCCAAACCTTTAACTCCAAACCCAAAACCCTAAACCCCAGACCTTTCACTCCAAAGCCTGAACGCACAGAAAGCACGGTCAAAGCTTATCCAGCAACCCAATGCGAGGTTCCGAACCGAGGGTGTGCCAAGCCCTCGGCTGCCAACACCTTTCCCAGGGAATGCATTGGGATAATGGAAAAGAAAATGGAAACTACTATAATGTTGCTTTATATTGGGGTTATATTAGGGATTATATAGGGATAATTGATAATGGAAAAGAAAATGGAAGCTACTACTTAGGGTTCAGGGATTATAGGGATTATATAGGGTTGATATAAGGATTATAGGGTGTATTGTTGGGGTTATATTGGGATAATGGAAAATACAATGGAAACTACTGTAGTATACTGGGGTTGAGGCGTTGGAGTTTATAGTTGCGAGCAAAGTGTTCAGAAGTTTGGGGTTTGATTTTAGGGCTTGGGGTTCAGCGGTTTAAGGTATGTCGCTTGAGTAGTTCTCTCTGCTAGGAGGACTTCAAGAACCACTGCTTTTCTTCAGTATGATCCACATCAATGCCTTCGACAGATCTCGTGGCACAGGGCTCCACATATCCCCTATTAAGCCTAGAGCAACTTAGGCTCTGATGCGCTATACTGCCGGTAAATTATGCAATGCAAAGCAAAAGAAGCTGGCACGATCTCAACTTCCAAATTTTCGACAGGTCGGCCTACGCGAAGTGATCTGGAATGTGCCATGGCTTCCGTCAAGACCATGGCAGGCGTCACTCGCGGCGACGTGATGGGAGACCTGGGGCAGGCAATGAGCGGTGAGCGGAGGGGCCCGATGGAGGCAGACCTCCGCGGTCTCGGCCCAGCTTCTCGGAAGCTCAACGCTGGCGAACGGGCAGACAGCACAGAGGGTCCCGGTTGGGTTTGGACTGGAATGGGAATTTGGAGGGGGGCAAAGGAGGTCCGGCTGGACCTGGCGGACGGTGTTGAAGGCCCGGCAGTTTTCACCGGAATTGCTGATCCACCAGCCTGTGGTGTGCCAGCCTCGGTACTGCCTGTAGTCGTTGTAGTCGTGGATTTGGTGGGCGAAGCCATCTTGCCCTCGGACACGCTTGCCTGCAAAGGGAAGCAAATGGCTCCGTTAGGCAATGTGGTGATGGAGGCTGTGGATGCCCGGGCCATCTGCCACGGTTGGGGCGCATAGGTGATGGGCTTCCTTGCGCGGGAGAGCGGGGAGCGGGTGGGAGACATGATTCTGCGCGTGTGGATCACGGGTGACCATGAGGCCACATGCGCTGGTCCCGGCGATGTCCGCATGGCTGCTGAGCACCATGGGTATCACTATCCTCACTACCTTTGGGCTACAACTGCGGCAAGCCACGGTCAAATTGATCTCCTGACGAGGCTTTCACATTAGTTCAGGAAGCCCCAGATTGCCATGCAGGAATCCAGAAAAGCACCTGAAACTCCTGCATTCACAGTGTGTGTGCATATGTGTATATATATATATATGTATAAAGGTGTGTGTGTGTGTGTGTGTGCGTGTGTGTGTGTGTATATGTATATATATATATAAAGAGGTGTGTGTGTGTATGTATATATATATGTATATATATATATATACATGTAGAAATGTGTGTATATATATAGAGATATAATAGATATATGAAAATGCCACGTTTACGTTCGCGGCCTGCAGAAGTAAAGCGCCTTTGCAAGGAGAGCTTACACAGGGACTTCCCGAATCTACCAATCAGTGGTTGGGAAAACTATTTGGTACTGGCATTTTCCTCTGAGCGTGGAAAACAGTATTCCAGAAGACCCTGAAATGTAGTCTTTACGAGCTCGCTGTAAACGTTACAAGGGTGCAATGGGCTGAAAGCATGCAAAAACAACAACATGCCTAGTGTGTGTTCAAAGAAAAGGTGAAAATTGAGTACGCTGTGTACCATTTGGTTGGGCTTGTATGGGTTTAGTACGTGAACGGATTTGAGTGCAGCTTTTTCAATTTTCAGCGTCTGGCCCCAAACGTGGAATCAGCATCCTCCAAGATATTTCAACAACAGAGATCAAGTCTTGTCGTGTACTGAGGGTCCACACAAGTAAACAGAGGGTTCTCCTGCAACCACAGCACCAGTCCCAAGAACAATGCGCCACATGCACTGATAGCGTATCCTTCTGGTTATTACGTGAAGAACTCTGTCTTGCCTGGCTATTCGAGCCCTCACCTTAGCAAGTTACCACAGCTCAGATTCATCCGTTGAAGCGACCCTGCATGTTCTGACCTAAGCTCTGCGCTCCAAACTGTTGGCCCTAGCCTGCATGCAACCCATGAAGCAGCCTTGCCTGAGAGATATTGGAGCAGGCACGGAAAAGAGGGCAACAGCTTTCGTATTCCTCTTGATACCCTACGACATATCGAGAGCTTCATGAAAACTCCTGCCACCTCTTCACAGGGTTTGAAGAAGTGTGGCCAAAGAGCAGCTGGCATGGGGTCCTTGGTCTCTTTCGCCTTCTTTTCTTTTTTGTGGTCCTGGCAGAACTGACATTTTCTTTGCTTTGGAGTACGGCCGGCCGCCCTCGAAGAAAATGCAATGGTTCTCCCTGTCCTACAACCCCCAAAAATAATCCAGTGTAACCCAACGGCGATCTGCTGAAAGCCCTTGCAATCCGGCAATTGCCGCTAATGTTGCAGCGCCCTGCTGCTTGCCCAGCCCTTCACGCAAACCCTTCACCGTTCCAAAGCTTTCGGGTTCATACATGGCGGGTTAGGGCTGAAAGAATCGCTTCAGAAATGATAACAATGCAAGGCTTGGTGCGACTCACAAGTTACAAGTTCAAGGCAGAGAGGAATAGGGCGACAAAAAGCGTGCCTGAGACCTCATGCAGGGGGGGTCAAACATTATAGGCATGAACAGAATCGGCTGATACAGGGTAGCACCCGTTTTGCAGATGCTGTGTAGGCATCGGGCTTCCGGCTTGATAGGAACACCAGGATATTGTGCTTCGAGCTTGCGCAGTGCAAGTCTCCACTTCCAGTTCCATTCCACCTACTACACACCTACGGATTGGAATCCGGCAATTTTCAGGACTCCTGCCCGAACCTAGGTAATGGCACATCGGAAGCTCAAGGAGCTTCAAATCCATAAGCGAGTAACCAAAAAGAATCAACAACAACAACAACAAGAACATAGGGGACCTCTAAAGCTCACCTATCCTCAAAGTTCTTGGCCGCATCACTAACAAACCAATGTGTGGATCCCATGCGAATTACTAAGAATCTGCGCCACCTGGCAACTGCTGTCAAGTTCCCTAGTTGTTCTGATCTTAATTAGTGCCTCCCTTTCTTAACCCCTGGTGCTAAGCCCTGCAGGCCAACCCTGCACCCCGAACCAACAAGAACTACGTGTACAACAACTGCTACTTACCACCCCTCCCTACCCGCCCTTGGCTGCCTTTTCTTTCGGCTTGGCCTTGGCGGCGACTGCCCCCTCCTTGGGCTTCACGCCCTCCTGAGCGGCCTTGCCAGTATGATAGCAGTGCCAGCTGTTAGAGCAACACAAACAAGTCGGAGTCAGGGTCCTTCTTGAGCCAGAAAAACAACAAAAACACAGTGGTACTTGCTGCGACTCTACCTAGTGGTGGTACCAGCGGCAGGAATAGTTGTAGCAGCACAGCTGGGGAGCAGGTGTACGAATACATACGCATGGTAGCAGCGGTTCAAGAAAATTCAAAAGGCCAAAGTAAAACAACAAAACGATTGCACTGCAGCAAGGCTGCAGAATTGAGCGGAATGAAAGCTGACTAATATTTCTGCGATGGTGGTCCAAGGCTCCATGCAGCCACATGATGGTCAAGCTGAGTGATGTGCTTCCTTTGGCAAAACTTACCTCCCAAAGAAGGAGCCTATAACATGAATGTATAGTCCTGGGGACCCTTGTTTCGGTAGTTGGGGGTAGCGAATTATCTTCAGCACTGAGACTGGCAACTTCCTGATACAAGGCAAGAGAGATGATTGTTGAGGCTTGTGGATGCAAGGATTTTGCTGTTTCCCGTTCATTCAATTGTCGGCCTACTTAATACCTTTGCTGCGGGCACCCAGGACAACAACATGTTCAAGTAAACACCCTCTGCGCCTGATGCTACGTATGTACATGTACATGCCTTTGCATGCTCCGGTAAGGTTCTGGGGAAGAGGGGCGGTGTCCGTAGGCGTCGGCAATATGAAAGCTCCATAGACCCTACCTGCCCTGAGCAGCCCCCCGACCAAACCATGAAGGCCTATGTACGGCCTCCATTTTATATCCGGCCCCCTGTCCTGCACTTGTCTTTTATGTGGATGTGGTCCCCTCACAGAGCTCGTATATATGACTATCATAAGAATGGGGCAGTACCCAAGATAGAGCTATTGAGCTTGCACAGCCAAGGGTGTGGGATTCTGACAATCATCTTGACACCTTCTCAATACAGTACTCTTAGAATCCCGCAATAAGAATCCCCATAATTAATCCCACTGCAATCCTATGTATCCAGAAGGAATTGCAAATAAACGGCTTGCTATCTGCTTATAAGCTTGGGTATAACACGCCAGTTTTGACAGCGAAGATGATCAAATAAGTGTCATTATGAGCCTTGCCAGCCTCATCATGACAAGTATGACGAGAAACTTCTCTTTATGACCATTACAGACCCTAAACCCTAAACCCCTAAACCCTAAACCCTAAACCCGGGGTGATTCCCTGTGGGACTCTGACTCAGGCTACGAAAATCATCCTTGGCTCTGCTCATTATTTCGGCAACAAACCCCAGAGGGTCCATGTACCTAATATTTAGGGTTTAGGGATTAGGGTTTAGGGTCCATGTACCCAATATTTAGGTTCTTGGGTTTTGGGTAATAGTGATTATTGGGTACTTGGACCGTTAGGGAACTATCTTGTTCAACAAGCCCGGGTACCTAACAATCACATGCTGACCCAAATCCTGAGCCAGCACCAATCCCAAAACTCCTTGTTGTAACCTATCTAATCGACTATATATCACCCTTTCAGGAATTAAGACTACAGCTCACATAGTTTTGGGGCTGGCGTAAAGCTCTAAACCCTTAAACACCTAAACCCTATAAACCCTAAACCCTAAAACCCTAAAACTCTAAACTGTCACCTTCGCCTTGGTCTCCTTGGCATCCTTGCCATCCTTGGCCTTCGGATCCTCCGGTCAGGTTTGCCGTCCATTGCCCTAAGGGTCCAAGGACCCAAATAAAAGGGTTTAAGGTTTAGGGCTTCAGTGTCCAAATAACACAATATGAACGGTACTTGGGACCTAAAGCCCTGTTGTTTCGGTCCTTGGACCTTTAGGGTTGGGTAGGTAGAAGGATCGGAGGTGGAGGACATGAACCTCTGTTGTACTAACTTGACCCCTAAAAGGTTTCTATTGAAGTTTTCCTTGCTTAGGTACTTGGACCCTTTGTGCTGGGACTTGGGTTTACGGTTCACGGTTTAGGCAGCGGGGCTTCCATTTTCATCCCGTGGGAGGCCTTCAGAAATGGTCGCGCAGAAGATGTACCGGCCGCAGAACGTGTCAAGAGGTTCCGGCTTGATATGGGGTAGTCTACAGCCATACCTGTCAAGTAAGGCCCAAGTACGGATTGCCTCTCCACCCAAGGCCGATGTGACAGGCAGGAAGTTTGGGGCATCCGCGAAAACAAACCGACACGGCATGGTGCCCTCAACAATCTCTCAAGCCATATGCCTCAATTGGGGGCTCTGTGAGCCCAAGCCAAGGGGCATGCCTGCTGGGGGGTAGTACCAAAGTCCTGGATGCATGTCACAAATTTCAGTATCAATAGAAAAGCCCATGAGACTAGCAGACTCTTCTTTGCAAAGCCAAAAAACCAGCGGCAGTTGCAAGGACAACCGGGATCGCCGGTTCTCCCTACGAAGTGTAGTGCCCAAGTGAGCAGAAACAGCCTGAACAAAGCAACTACGGAATGAGAAGCCGAGCTGCAAACCCGATCCCACACCAAGTCTCAAAATTGCAAGCCGTGTGAAATCCTAGTTCAGCACGGCCATATGCAGGTTAAACGGCGGATGCTCAACCCCCAAGGCCCTCAACCGTGAAACTACTAAATCCCTCGAGGCCCAATCTCAAAGCGACGGAAGACGTTCCTTGACCTCAACGTCAATGATCTCGGCTTCCCTGGATGTTTTAACAGTGGCATTGCCGCATCACACCAGTGGAGGTTAGGGAATGCCCAATATTCAAAAGCAGCGGCTGAGCAACGAGTAATTAACACGAATCATTCCCTAAGGGTCCATGTA